AGGTTGGCAGAGGTAAAAGAGGTGAAGGTGGAGGGAGTGGCAGGAGAGACGGGCACACTCATTTTAACTTTCATTAAAAAAAATATCGGCTTATGAGTGGACCTACACAGTTTAAACACGCTGTTTGTTGTTCAAGGGCCAACTATAGTTATTAACAGCCCTTTATAACTCCAAAAGCGGAGTTTCGCTCTTGTTGCCAGGCTGGAGTACAGCCTGGTGCTGTACTTGCAATCTTGGCTCACTGCAACCTCCGCCTCCTGGGTTCAAGCGATTCTCCTGTCTCAGCCTCCCAAGTAGCTGGGACTACAGGCACGTGCCACCATGCCCCGCTAATTTTTTATTTTTAGTAGAGACAGGGTTTCACAATGTTGGCCAGGCTGGTCTCGAACTCCTGAACTCAGATGATCTACCCACCTCAGCATCTCAAAGTGCTAGGATTACAGGTGTAAGCCACCGTGCCCGGCCCTTATTTTTAACATCTACAGCAATATTAGGCCTTTTTTGTTCCAGGTGGCATTTTATTGGTAACTTTTTTCTTGTCAGTTTGACAAGTCTTGATTTAACATCTTTTCAAAAAACCAATTTGGGGTTTTATCGATTTTTCTGTATTGTATATTCACTTTCTATTTCATTAACCTATGTTATTATTTCCATTCATTTCATTATTATGTGTTTCACCCAGGAGTCATTTTAAAATATTTCCTACTTTCCAAACTTGTTTTTCTAATGATCTCTACTGTACTGTACCACAGCAGTACATAGTATTGGTAGCGATACTATGAAACTTGAGATTTGCTTTATCATCTAGTATTTGGTTTATTTGCACAAATCATATGTGCTTGACATATGTATTTTGCATTTATTTCGGCACAATATACTATATGTGTCCATTTTTTATTTAAATCTTCTATATCCTTAATTTTAAAAAAATCTGAACAATTATTAGGTGTTAAAAATCTCTCACCATGTTGATGGAGATGTCTATTTTTCCATGTAGTTCTATCATATTTTTGTTTTATATATTTTGAGGCTACATCAATAGTTACACACAAATAGAAATGTTATATCTATTGGTGAACTGAAATCTTTCATCATTTATTTAGCAAACATTTTCTCCAGTATCTTTGCCTCACAATTTCTTTTTTGCCCAGCCAGCTTTCTTCTTATATTTGTGTGGTATATGCATTTTCTATCTTTTTACTTTCAACCTTTCTGTATCTATATTTTAGATGTGTTACCTTGCCCAGCATATGGCTTAAATTTCTCTCTTTAAACTATTCATCTTTAAAACATTATGTCTTTATCTTTAGTTAAAATACTACAGATAGCCTTTTGGGGTTCTAGATTTATTGGAGTATCATCTGTGAGACTACCTACCTTAGACTGGCTCTGTGTTTTGTATACTGAGCCCCTCTGAAATCATAAAAACAGAATTCAGCAAATTCCCTCAAGGTAAAGGCTGACAATCAAGCTCACCTTATCTTTCTGAAATTTTTGTCTTAAGTTTTTAACCTGTATTCTTTACTTTGTTGATAGTTCATGAATGCCTTTAAGATTTTTAGGCCAGGTGCGGTGGCCCCCACCTATAATCTCAGCACTTTGGGAGGCCAAGGCAGGCAGATCACTTGAGGTCAGGAGTTCGAGACCAGCCTGGTCAACATGGTGAAACCCCATCTCTACTAAAAATACAAAAATTAGCTGGGTGTGGTGGCATGCATCTGTAATCCCAGCTACTCCGGAGGCTGAGGCGGGAGAATTGCTTGAACCAGGGAGGAGCAGGGCGCAGTGAGCTGAGATTGTGCCACTGCACTCCAGCCTGTGCAACAGAGCAAGACTCCGTCTCAAAAATAAATAAATAAAACAAGATTTAAAAAAAATTATCAAGCTTGTTTAGCTGTTTTCAGCAGGAGTCAGGCCAGGTACCTTGTTACCCATATTGACCTATTCATTCTTCACTGGCTGCACATCATCTTTCTACACCCTAAATGAAGGAAATGTATCAAAGTTTACTCTTCAGGTTACCAATTATAGTGCATTATACCATCTCCTTTGGAGACTTCATCACTCTTTGTATAGTAATTACCATTTATTATAGTGACAATTACATTAGAATTTCTCAAAAAATATATGTATAAATCTTGATGATGGTGAGGGGAGATGGGGAATGGTTTAGGAAAAGTCCTACAAATGATATATACGCATACAGGAATAACCATATGACCTACTCTATCCTAGGTGAGACTCACTGCTTTAACAACTCCAACTACTTATAACCATCTGACAAGGAAATTTACCTCTAGATTGACCTTTTTTCTGAGATTCAGACCTGCAACTTCAATTGCTGTATGAACTTTTCCTCCTGAATTCCTCCCACCAACACAAACCCAACATGGCTGGATCAAATGTCATCTTCTCATAAATTTGCCTTACCTACCAGTTTCCAAACCTCTATAAAAGATATTATGAGTCTTTGAGGTATCCAGACAAATCTTTGATTCATTTTTAAGATGTCCTTTTTCTTTTCCCACATCATCACAAAGTCCTTCCTGCATTCATTTGTGTTAGTCTATTTCGCTCATTTCATTCCTTTTGTCACCCTCTTATTCTAAGAGGGTGTCAGGACTGTTGTAGTCTATCACCAACAGAGCTTACTTCTAGTCCCTCTTGACTACTATTCCTTCTACGTACTGCTATAAGGTGAATTATCCTTAAAACATTGTATATCAGCCACCCATTCAAATATATTTAATGAGTTAAGACTGCCTACAGAAGTCTTCAATTGGTCAACAGCATATTTATTTATTTATTTATTTATTTTTGAGATGGAGTCTCTCTCTGTTGCCCAGGCTAGAGTGCAGTGGTGTGATCTTGGCTCACTGCAACCTCTGCCTCCTGGGTTCAAGCAATTCTCAACCTCCCGAGCAGCTGGGCATGCAACATCACATTCGGCTAATGTTTTGTATTTTTATTAGGGATGGGGTTTTGCCACGTTGGCCAGGCTGATCTCGAACTCCTGACCTCAAGTGATCTGCCTGTCTCGGCATCCCAAAGTTGTGGGATTACAGGCATGAGCCACCGCATGGCCAGTCAACAGCATGTTTAATAGTTGCCCAGAGATGTAGGGAAGAGAAGAGGAGGGGTAACCAAGAGGCTATAGCCATTGGCCAAGCAAATCCCATTACATCCTGAGTGTTTCAAACACTGGTAAATTACTGTGGAATGGGATAATGCTAGAAGCAAAAAGTATCCCTCCTTTTCAGTTGATGATGGATTTCTAAAATGCTGTGTATTTTTTATCAGCCTCAGTCCACCCAACAAAACAAAAAGGACCAAAGAAGGAAAAAGTAGAGCATTCTATTTAAAACTGTCCTTGCCTACCCTAGAGACCAAGCTCTTTCATGAAGCCACCTTCAACTACCTCAATCACTGGTGACTACTATTTTCCCTAAGAGCCAAAGTTTCTGTCTACACTACTCAATAAGAAACTGGCATATGCTTCTTACTATTATAATTTATATTATCATGAACAAATCTTTTCTCCCTACCATGGGTACTATGAAGGACACAGTATCTAATACTTCATATAGCTGATATTTAGAATACTATACACATAATTTTAAATGAAGGCTTAATAATGATGGTTCATTCATGTAGTATTTAGCATCTATATTTAGCTTTCTGTATGTCTTCTACATGTGTATTCCAGGAGTTCTTAGAAGCCAAGGGGAAAAAAAGACAAAATTATCTTTAAAAGTCACACCTCTGCTTTTTAAAATGCTGAAATGATGTAACTTACAGTATTTTGACATCAGACTTAAACTGACTTTCATGATTCAGGTGGGAGAAAGAAAACCCTACACCTAGGTTGACAAATGGATACACTCAAATTAGTTTTTTTTTTTTTTTTTTTTTTTTAATCTACCCTGGTCAGACTTCCCAGAGATTTACAAATAGGCTAATAATGTAATCTAGAACTTCAGTCAACTATTTTATAACACAATTCAAGGAGAAAGTTCAGAATTTTCCAAAGTGCCTTTCAGATATACACTTATTGCAGTGTTTATAAAATTGTGGTTTTCACTTTTTGCTGATGTAAGGGCTATGCGTAACATTGTAAAACAGTCATTTATTTACATCCACATTTCCCACACTAGCCTATAGCATTTTGAAAGAACAAGATTTATTAATCTTTTTTCTTCGGTATCAAGCAGTTGCTAGGAACTCAATAAATGTTTATTGAAGAAATCTGTCACAACTTATATGACAGATCTAAAAATCTATAGATATCTTATTCAATTATTTTAAGATAAATTATGTTTTTATACCATAAGATATTCAATAAGATATAAATATTTTAGCTATTAATTATTGTTTTAAAAAAAAGGAGCCAGAGGGAAAAGCCACCTAACAGCACAAAAAATGTGTAAGACTCCTTTAAGGTTTTTATGTTTTGATGACAAACAGAAACCAAATATATCACTTTTAAAAGGAAATGACCACAAGAGGCAGCAGGTGAAAAGTTCAAAACTACAGCTTATTATTAACAATCAACAACTTTTAGAGCCATTCATTAATTAGATTTTAGTGCAGCTTATAAGTTTAAGACTGAGAATGTTTCAGTACTATCCACATTTCAGAAGTCATACACAGCAAAAGGCATATCATTACTGAAGATAAATATTTTGGGTTAACTTAAAAAATTTTACCTAGATCCTACCTTGAAAGCTGACAAAAATATTCTAATGAACATGTTCACAATATTATATTTTTATTCTTCGTTTCTCTTCTTCTGATAAGTTGTTTATATAGTAAAAATGACTTGAAATAATGTCATAATAAACTAGTACTTTGTAAGAGTAATAAAATTACGAGTACCAATACATTTTCATGTGAGTCTCACAGAATTTCTCATTAATTTGTTAACTCTACCAAATTTTTAGTTTGAGGGGAAAATATCTGTTAGCCACAAGAAAAATGATCTTCAGACATTTCAATCATACCTGTTTCTGAGCTTCTACTTTTTGCTTTCTGGTTGGATCAATTGCATCTACCATCCATTTGATAGTAAAGTATGTCACTGCACCAAATATTGTCAAACGGAAAATTAAACCAACAACTTCATTCCGACTCAAAGGACGAGAAAAGGCTTCAGCATGTACCATCTTGATTGTTAACCTTAAAAAAAACAAACAGAAATGTCACTAGGCAATAACTATACTTATTAAAATTGGGAGACTAACAAAGTAGCTTAAACTAAGCAAGAAAAACTAACTTCTAGTCAAATTAAAATATTACCTACCTTAAACAAACTGTTTCATTTTAAGGAGAAATGAATTTTTAAATGTTAAGTAAACAAACACATTTAAAGCTCCTCTTGCAAACTAGAAGTAGACTAGAAACTCAGATTTATTTGGTAGAATTAATCATTTTATTTGAAAAATACAGTAAATATCTTAAGGTATTTACTCAAACAGCTTTAAAGAACTATTTCAGAGTCTAGGAAAGTATCGACTACAACACTAATCCCACTGAAGAAAGGCAGCCCGACAATACTAATGTGATGGTAAGAATTTCTTCTATTAACTGTAATGTACACCAGGTAATTTCTGAGTGAAATTCAAATTGTGACCTCACTCACTTTTTCCTCATACCTACTTTTAAAGGTTTTCACAGCCTGCTTAAATTTAAACATGCCATTTTCTCAATTAATAAGTGGCATTAAATTTTTTGAGTCACACTATTGCTCCCAACAACCCAGCTAAGTAGGAAGCAATAGAACTTGGAAAAATCTTGAACTGAGACAACTACTACAAGAATACAGCACTCACCCAAGCTAAAGAGAAAAAAATGAGGTAAATGTGCCTACTTTTGCATATATCCCTGAACAGCTACATCAATCAAAGCTAGGCTTACAGAGGACATACACTCCTCTGTCAACGGCAATAACTACTCAGAAGAATAAGCTTGTTAGGGGTGATATGACTATCACATTTTGGGAGACAGGATCTTAGCTTCAAATAATGCCATTATACTTTCAGTACAGGAGTGTGCTGAATGCTATGGAATATATAAGAAAAAGAGAATGTGTATTTGCACTCATATAAACATGACAAAAACAGAATTGGTATGGCTCAGCACAGATAAAAATTAGGTACTGCATAAATATCCACAGTCCTTCCAGCTCTAAAATTCTCCTCTCACTACTACTAAATTAAAGAGCCTCTTCACCTTCCTCCCTCTAGAATAGCTCCAAAAATTTTTTATTTCCTTTTACACACCTCACCTCCACTCAAGGACATATACTTCTTCTCTCTAATCAAAAGACTCCAAAGTATTCCCTTTACAGGATTCCCAAGCATTCAAAACTATTCTAATCTAGAATCTAGCTCCAGGGTCAATTTTAAGCATTTTATCTTTCACCCCTTTTCAAAGGGACTCTAAATAGCTGTAGTCACTAGTATCTGAAAATCCCACACATATTTTCCCTTCAGCATATCTGTCTAGTACCCTGCATGGGCCATTTACCCTCATTCACCTTCAAACTAGTCAAATTCTATCCTAACTTCAAAAATCAACTTTATCTGCTCCATAAAGCCTTTCAAATCACATGAATTTTCTGTATTATTCATTTTGCCCTATTATACTATCTTAAAAAATGTCTTGCTTTTAATCATTATTGACCTTATGAGATATCTACTCAACTAGAGTTTAAATCCTTTTAAACAAGATGTATATCTTATGTACCTTTATAACTGTTATGCACAAAACAGGCCTTTATAATTGCCACACACAGAGGCTATTCAAAAATTATCTGTTCAACCGATAAATTGTAACTGAAGAAAAACTCCCAATCATTCCAACAGAGTCACTGTCAGACTTCTGAAGGATTTCCAAAACGTTCCACATTTCTCCATTATTAGGAGCCATTCGCTTCACAATAATTATATTTAATTTAAACTTAACAACTAAATAATTGAAAGCGTTCATTTTGGAGGAAGAAACTTTGACCTAGGATGTTAAGTGACTTAATTCATTCAATTAGCACTTACTGAACATCTATATATGATGCCCACTATATACTGAGTATACAATAATTGTTAAGATATCACCACTTTATTCAAAGAACACACTGTCCGGCTATTATATTAATTATAAAGAAAGCAAAAGAAGCCAAACAGGAGAAGGCACCTAACTGAAATCTCTCCTCATGGAACAAATCAAAGTGTGCTATCTTCAATCAGCATGGATTCCAAAAAAAAATGGGTTACACAATATTTCACTTCTCATAGGAAGTAAAAAACTGACTTTTCTAGTCTTTATTCCACAAAGTTGAAAATGCAGTTGAAACGTGTTGTATCACTACGTGGAGTATACTCACAGATGAAAATAATTTAGACAAGATAAGGGTTTTATTAACTTGATATGTGAAAAGTGGTGGCATTCCAGTAAAACATTTTCATTTGTTTAGAGTGGGTAGAGTGATAAAACTGTCATCTATTGGATATTCATTGAACTACACGAACAAATTAGGGCTGTTATGAACACATCCCAGTCATCAAGATGGTAACAACTTTTAATCCCATAAAAGTTCAAGATACAAAACCCGTTTATATCTTTCCCAATTCTGAAATTTTTAATGTAGTAAAGACTTAGGTCTACTAAGGCCACTTGTAAAATAGTAGTCCATCTTTTTAAATTACTTCAAAATCCTTCAATGAAACTGAAGCTTGTTTTGTAGACTGTAACTATATACTTTATTGTACACTCATGTATCATTCATTTGGTATTGATATACCTGCAATGTAAGGCTGTTACAGCAACAATAGCATTAGAGTGAACATACAATAAAAGCTGCATGTGCATACAACAGCAGAGAGTGTATTTCAATCCTGTATAAACATTAAGTTCAACAAAATGAATACACAAATATGTACATATACGATGACAATGCTGTAAGCAACTAAGAAACATCCTAAAACACTATAACCTAGAGTTATTTGCTAGGCAAATATGGTATCAGGTCGTTTCATTTTAAGTTCTCCATTTCCGAGTGGAAAACTATGAAATCGTACTACCTCATCTATGAGCAATTTATTTACATGTACAGCATTCATAGCATAGCATTCACTGTAGCATTTCTCTCCTAATTCATTGCAGTATTTCACAAATGGATTCTCAAACTCAAAAGTCCCGGTTCTGCAGACATAAAGGCCCTACGGATACAGCCTATGACAATGAAGGCCTGCCAATATCTACAAAGAGAGCAAGTTATTATTAACATCACCATCTTCTGCGAAAGCGTGCCCGGCCCTGAAGAACCACCTTCGAGTCTGCACAAGGTGATTGTCGCCCGTGCGACAATCAGAGCTGGTTCATTCTAGCCGCCTTCGTCTAGGTTCGCCCGGTTCTGAAGTCTTCCGGGACGACCCCAAACCCCCACAGTGACCAGGAAGCCGACAAAGATTCCCTCGGGAATGGCACGAGTTTGGGGAGGAGCTAAGCAGACCCTAAGGACTCAGGCCGGGCCGGACGCCAAGGCGAGGCCCGGGACGCCCTTGGAGGTTAATCCTCTCGATACTAAGGGCTGCGGGGCGCTTGGGGGCGGCACTGAGGTGAGGCGTGGCAGAAGACCGGGGTGACCTTTCCTCCGGGGGTTCCCAGGTTCGAGACGGTCCTTAAAGGACCCCAGCAGGATACGACACCCATCCCATGAGGCCCCACGGGAACCCGCTACTCACCCAGGAGCAGAAACAGCGGGAGCAAATGCCCTCAGCCGGCCTCGCACAGGAAGGAAATGCAGCCTGGGAGAGAACGCTTCCGGCGGGAGCCGCGACCCACTCGCTCGCAAGGAGCATGCGCGACCCGCGGTCGCCGGCGAGAATGCTGCGTGCTCCCAGGGTTAGAAATGGTGAGCGAGAGCAAATTCGCGCACCCGATGCTTGCTTAACCTGCTACCTGCCGGACGGAGACTTTCTGGGAAGCCGGCGTGTCTGCCAGCAGCACTCGCTGAGGCTCTGAGTAACAGACACCACATTTGAGAAGGCGCTTATCACAGAAAGTCCCTGCCCTTCTCGCGGGCTCCGGGCGCAACCCTAACAAATAGGGCAGCCTTCTTGAGAGTGCAGAAATGCTCTGCGTACCCAGCAAAGACATTCTCTCCTTCCCACCACTCTGCAAACCCTCACGCCGCGGCTTTGTGTCTGTACTTTAGCCAAAACGCAGAAGCTCATGGCCACCTCCCACACCTCACCCTTCATCCCTCACCACCTGCCTTTCAATTCTAGGGTGAGCTCACCCTCCTCCCCCATCTCTGTGCTGACAAACACCTGAGGGTGGCGCCTGACAAATCTTTCCGCGAAAAGATTTAGCAGCCCACGCCAGCAGCCCCAGTAGTTGGGACGGAATAGGGCATCTGGCAACAGATTTTGCATTTTGGTGATTTCCCTTTTTCTTTTACCCGTTTCCCTTTCCAGAACGAGCGACGTGACATAAGAGGTCCCAAGGGAGCAAACCTAAAAGCCAGAACCTCCTGAATACCAGACTGACAGGGGGCCAGATGATGTTAGACACTCTGAAGATATAAGAAGCATCACTTCCTTCAGATAGAGTCGGTGAGACTATGATGTAATGAGAGTTCTCCCTGTGTTCTTCAGGAAGGCAGTTTGTGCCTTTCTACTTGAGGCATCATCTTTGATGGCTAAAGAATTCTGCAACTTGGCCAGCGCAGTGGCTCACGCCTGTAATCCCAACACTTTGGGAGGCCGAGGCGAAAGGATCACTTGAGGTCAGGAATTCGAGACCAGCCTGGACAACATAATGAGAATTCGTCTCTACAAAAAACAAACAAACAAACAAAAACCTAAAAATTAGCTGGATTTGGTGGCGCATGTCTGTAGTCCCAGCTACTTGGGAGGCTGAGGTAGGAGAATCGCTTGAGCCCGGGAGATCAAGGCTGCAGTGATCAAGCCACTCCACTCCAGCCTGGGGATCAGAACAAGCCCCTGTCTCAATAATAATAACAGTTTTGCAGCCTGATTGTTAACGAATGTTACTAGTTACAAACTTGTAATAATGTGGTGAAGATAATACCTAGTGAATGTCTGCTGGGGTGGGGCAATATGCTGCTATGTGCTTTATATGCATAACCTAAATACCCCAAAATCCTCTAAAATAGCTATTATTTTCTCCGTTTTTACTAATGAGCACATTTTAAAGCTTAGAGAAACTTTTCTAAGTTCATATACTTAGGAAATAAAGGCAACAATTTCATTGGAACACAGATCTGCCTAATTCAAACCTTGTACTTTACATTTTCTCTTTGAGATGGTAATTTAGTACGAGCTAAACTTTAAAATCTAGTTGAAAGTAAGACCATGAAATGCCAAAATCACAAGGCTTTAAAGGAAGGGATGAAAGGGATGCATGAATGTTGAAAACTGATTAAGTTCATGGACAGGAATCAGAATGGAATTTAATACTGTAAATGGTTCATGTTTTATACCCATGCCTTTTTAGTATTTAAGGCTTTTATGTATGTGCATGCCTACATTCCTAATTTTAAAAAAAATTAATGTGAAGCTAGGTTTGGGATTGCTAGACTAATTATTTAGAGAGATAGACCTTTGAGAATAACAGGAAGATTATGAGACTAGGACAATGTTCATTAAAAACAACAACAATGAAAAAAAAAAAAAAAAAACAGGCTATCAGTGCTCGGCAGACTTTCAAGAGACTCTCCACTGGGTCCTCGGATGATCCCAAGTTGAATCATTGCTTGGGAGGCTCATGGGCACATGGTTTGACAGGACTAAAAGGGAAGGGCCACTAAAGGAAAGAAACAGGTTTTGTGCCCCAACAGGGTAATTATACCCACTGGTAAGGAAAATGAGCTGAGAAATTCAAGGTGGTAATGGATTTTCATTCATTTGCTGAGTGAAATTGGTTCAACTAAGAGCCTCACCTGCCCTCCTCTACGGACCAGGGTGACCAGCCTACCCAGTTTCAGTTTGCATGAGACTAAAAGGTTTGCTGGGATATAAGACTGGCTGAGAAAGTCTCAGGCAAATCATGAATCACTCTACTAAAGACATCCTAAATGAATCCTACAATGAAATGGAGTTCCCAATATGGTTACATTTAGTTTCAGTTCATCTGCCTAATATCTGAGGGATGATTGCGCAGGAAAGGAAACTGTTGAATAAAGTCATCAAGGCTGACCGTAAAGAGTCCACAAGCTGGAAAAGTGCTACACCTCACTCACTCCCTTTCCAGTGGTTCAGCTGTAAACCAAATGCCTACACCTGTATGTTTTGGACCTAATATTTTCATTTAGCGAATCCTTAAGAAAGCTTCCATGTCTGGGCCTAAGACATGAAGTACATTCATTTTCAGCAATCATCAAATCAATGAGGTTCTTCCAGAATAGAGCAGAGTGAACATATGCTTTTCATACCGGGATAGCTTTATATAATCCCTGGCAACACAAATACCATATTTGGCCCACAGTAAGGGCTCAATAAATAATTCATTATATATAATATTAATCAGGAAATTAGAGCAGATTGTAGACTTTCTAGGCCTTTGCTCTTTGTTAGAATCAAGATATTAAAAACAATTATTACTTTATTGTAGAAAGTTTTTGGGTTTTGTGTGTGTGTGTTTTCTTTATCAATACCTCTTAAAATAGTTATGGCAGTTCTCCCCTGCCATAAAATGGTACTAAATTTTCCATTTTTGTTATTAAATGGAGTGTAGCCAGTTTGCTCTGCAACCAAAGTTAATGCACTAGATGGGAAGAAAGAATTCCTTAGATTAGGTATTCTCGGCTGGGCTCAATGGCTCACACCTGTAATCCCAGCACTTTGGGAGGCCGAGGCGGGTGAATCACCTGAGGTCAGGAGTTCAAGACCAGCCTGGCCAACATGGTGAAACCTTGTTTCTACTGAAAAAAAAATACAAAAATTAGCTGGGTGTGGTGGCAGGTGCCTGTAATCCCAATTACTTGGGAGGCTGAGGCAGGAGAATCTCTTGAACCTGGGAGGCAGAGGTTGCAGTGAGCTGAGATCATGCCACTGCACTCCAGCCTGGGCAACAGAGTGAGATTCCATCTCAAAAAGTAAATAAATAAATAAAAATAAATAAAATAAAATTAGGTGTTCTCAAATCTCATTGTATATGGATTAATTTGTACAACTTGACAAAATGCAGATTTCTGGCTCCCAGTCTTCAGAGACTCCCATTCAACTGCTCTAGGTTTTGACCTAGAAATCTGCATTTTAAAATAAACATCTGGGCTCTCTGCCATGTGAGGATGCAAGAAGGTGTCTGTCTGCAAGCCAGGAAGGGTACCCTCACCAGACACAGCTTATGCCAGTATATTGGATTTCCCAGCCTCCAGAACTGGGAGAAATAAATTTCTATTGTTTAAGACTATCAATAAATCAATAAACAAACATCTGAGCTGATTGGGATATAGGTAGTTTTAGAACATATTTTGAGAAACTCTGCCCTAGTGAATGAAGACTGTAGATGTATTTTTGCAAAAATCTCCATCACCTCAACCTAAAAGGCCTATCTGGTCATCTAAACCTTTAACCCAACTGGAATACATCAAGAAATAAAGGCAAGGAAGCCTCATGACGAGATTCAGGATAGAACCCCTTTGGAAGGAAAAACAAATCTGAAATCTTTGAATAAGTAAACACAGTAAACCTGACTCTATTCATTGCTCATTAGAAGTAATTCACTTGACAGTGATTTAGAAAGGATAGAACTTCAACAAATACATAAAATTATGTAGCAGTAATTATGCCAGTATAAGTCACTTGGTTACCTTGGTTCTTTTAAAAATATCATAAAAGGATAATTTCAATTGTTATTTTTTAATTTTTTAAATCATGTCTTCTGAATCATATGAACCATTATTTTGATAAGGTAAATGAAGTAGAATGGGTGGAGAAAGAAAAGTAAAGCAAGAATATGAAGCTATACCTGAAGCTGTACTTGAAGCTACAATAGACAGAATAATATATAACACAATGGAGTAACTATTCAGCCATTTTAAAAAATGAGATCCTGTCATTTGCAACGACATGGACAGAACTGTAGGAGATTATGTTAAGTGAAATAAGCCAGGCACAGAAAGACAAACTTTGCGTGTTCTCACTCATTTGTGGGAGCTAAAAATTTAAAAAGCTGAACTCATGGAGATAGAGGGTAGAATGATGGTTATCGGGGGCTGGGAAGAATAGTGGTGGGGGGTAGGAGGGAAGTGAGAATGGTAATGGGTACAAAAATATAGTTAGATGGAACAAATAAGATCTAGTATTTGATGATAGCAGGATGACTACAGTCAACAATAATTTAGTGTGCATTTTTAAATAACTAAAAGGGTATAATTGGAATGTTTGTAACAAAGAAATGATAAATGCTTGAGGTAATGGATACCTCATTTACTCTGATGTGATTACAACGCATTGTATGCCTGTATCAACATATATCATGTACCCCATAGATACACACACCTACTATATACCCATAAACTTG